TAAGCCGCGACCCTCAGATTGCGAGTCGAGTGCCGTAACCACCTGGCCATTCGCGTTATTAAATTTGCAGGGAGATGCGTAACCATCTAAGGACGACCATGTATATGTTGAGGCACACCGAAAGAAGGATGCTGGAGGAAATAACTATCCACTTAGAATCAGGGTTAAGATTGCTTTTTATCAATACACACAAACAAGACGTAATATAAGTAATATATAAACATTAAATAACTAAAAAACTTGAAGGTTTTTGAAGTATTTTTCACAAGGATAAAAACAAAAGCAAAAGAATATTAGAAATTTAATAAAAAAAATGATGATGATAAAAGTCAGGTATCTAGAATACACCCAATTGGAAAGATCTCAGGCTATTGTTTAATCAGGGTGCACTTCAAGAACTGTATTCATTCCCTTTGTTATAGGATGTAATATTTACGTCTTTCTAATACACCGACCAGGTGTGGCCTAATGATTAGCGTGCTCGAACTATGAATCTGAGGGTTTTGTTCACAGCCAGTTGCAAATACGCTCCGTACTTTAGGGTCGTGGGTGCGCTGAAAGTGTAACATTCAAATTTTACCATTCTTTCAGAAAAGAATAGCCCAAGAATTGCCGGTGAGTGCTTTTGACTAGCTGCCCTTCCTCTAATTTATCACTTCAAAATTAGTATTGGGGTAAACACACCAAATCAAAGTACTTAAGAAATTTCACTTACTTGAGTCTTCCTAAGAAAGTCCACGCCAAGGCTGACTTCTGGCACAGTGTCGTCCACTGAGAAAACCGAGAGAGTAAGTATTTATTTTCCATTTCATTAACTCTTTCACTGACAGGGGGACATATAAGTCCCCCTCTGGAGCACTGCTATGTGACTTTGGGATTTTATACCGCTACGAAGAAAGATTACTCCCCCACTTCAAATTTCCTAAAGTTTACTAGTTTCAAACTTCAGATAAGTAATGAAGTATTAAAACACATGTTTATTTATTATTATACACCTAAAAATATATCATGTTTATTTATTATTATTATATACCTAAAACTAAATCATGTTTATTTATTATTATTATTATACACCTAAAAATAAATCATGTTTATCTATTATTGGATACCTAAAAATAAATCATGTTTATTTTTTATTATATAACTAAAAATAAATCATGTTTATTTATTATTATATACCTAAAAATAAATCATGTTTATTTATTATTGTATACCTAAAAATAAATCATGTTTATTTGTTGTTATATACCTAAAAATAAATCATGTTTATTTATTATTATGTACCTAAAAATAAATCATGTTTATTTATTATAATGTACCTAAAAATAAATCATGTTTATTTATTATAATGTACCTAAAAATAAATCATGTTTATTTATTATAATGTACCTAAAAATAAATCATGTATATTTATTATTATGTACCTAAAAATAAATCATGTTTATTTATTATTATATACCAAAAAATGGGATACTTATTAATCTATAAACGTGGCAGCGAAAGAGTTACTAGCGGATCAACTTTAACAGTTTCACTCACATAAAGCTACACAGCATGTACCCACCAATTTCTTCCATATGCAAGTGTAATACATGTACTGGTTGTATAAAATATTTTAAATATGTAAGTAATACAACACGCGTAAATGGTTATACTTCAGTTTAAGGGTTCTTAACCTTATTTTCCTCATCTCCCCATCTATACAAGAATAGATTTATCTGCAGAAGCTGATCTTACAATGAATAAAAGCAGCATCGACATAAATACGTAAGTTAACCAAATTTTCAAAAACTACAACGTTATTTCCATTTAATCGAACATATTATCTTTCTTTTTTCAGCGTATTTTTTCATGAAATTATTAAGTGAAGCAGGATTTCAAAATATTCCATCTTCTGTTGAAGCCTACATGTTGCAAATCCACATGACAAACGCGCGATAATAGATGCTTCCGAATAAACAAACACAAAACGTTTCTCAAATTAAAAACCAGGTTTAGTCCGGGACACATATTTCATTGTTTCTGGAAATAACTACCATACATGAGGAAACATTGTGCCTCGAAACATTTTTCCTCGTGTATATTGGTCTTTCGAGGTCCACGAACCAAAGAGTGAGAACCGAGGTTCTAGTTACACATGACTATTCACACATTTCGTACATGAGTAAACACTGAACTGGTGGTAGTGGGAATTCAGTACCATTTAAGGTGGCAAAACGTTACTGTGATTTTTTAAGAAACCTACTAACGTTAAATCAACATGATAGACTTTATAGTATGGCAGCTAAGTGTCATCTTGTTTTTATCTAACTCCATACGGCACAAGGATGAAGTGTTCGGACAGTTTTTACACTGTAAAACTTAACTTATTTCTATCGCTAGATTTAACATTGCCGTAATATATGTATCAATCGATTCGTCTAAAGCAGACCTATCCAAAGGTATATAAGTTTCACAGGCTGTGGGGGAAGACCCCCCCGATAAGCCCTGGGATACAATATTTATTGGTAACACATAAAAATTATATAATAATACTCAAAAATGTCAGTACTCCGGTGAATCAGCGATGAGTTTAAAAACTTACAAAATTATAGTCCGAGATGGACAGAACACAAGTAGGTCATTGTGTAACTTTGTACTAAAAAAATAGCAATAAGAATTTCATATACTTTCCTATAACTGAACCGCCTCCGACGCACGTGGCAATCAATAATCACGTAACGAGCGAAAGAAATACTGCAACTGGAGAGGAATTAGTGAGGGTAGCTTTAATGGCTTCTTATGACACTACACACACACACACATATATATATATATATTTGGAAGTACAAGTATTTTGTTACTGTTATTCCTCTGTTCATTTTTACTATAACAATTTTGTATTTGTCTTACTTTAAGTTAACGAACTTAATATGAGCATAAGCACTTCACTGTGTGATATCTGACTAGAAACACTTGAAAGCTATTATAATTATTACTAGTACAAAAGCCCGTCAAAAAATTACGGGAAACCAAAGCCTACCAAATTTGAATCCTCAAATATGCATTTGCAACTTTGACGCCCGTAAATAATTCATTTGTTTGTTTGTTTTGAGTTTCACGAGAGCTATCTGCGCTAGCCGTCCCTAATTTAGCAGTGTAAGACTAGAGGGAAGGCAGCTATTCTTCACCATCCACCGCCAACTCTTGGGCTACTCTTTTACCAACGAATAGTGGGATTGACCGTCACGTTATAATGAAAGAGCCAGCATGTTTGGTGTGAAGGAGATTCGAACGCGCGACACTAAGATTGCGAGTAGAGTGCCCTAACCACCTGGCCATGACGGGTCTCCCGTAAACAGCGATAAGAAAAATAAAGGGCATTCAAGATTCAGGAAACCAAAACCCATCATGAGCAATATCTACTTTACCTAACTAGTGTCTCTTCCCAGCATCGATCCTTGTTTCACCATTCATTGAGCACAGTTATTTTCTTATCACATCAATTGTATTATTGCAATAGTTCTCTTAAAATCACATTTCTTGTAAATACTCGATCATCGTTGAAATATCTCTCTTCATAACAAACGACAAAATAATTTAACTCGTTGCTAAATAAATCCTTGGTATAAAAACTCCCTCCTTGACAGGCTTTTATATAGCAGAAAAAGTGCCGGAACTTAGGAGCTACTTACGCCTATGTTAGCGATTGAATTCAATTAAAATGGGAACGTGGGATCAAAAGAAGAAGCATTATAGGAGAAAAACATGGAATTGGACTGGTGTAACTCACAAAATTCGGACAAATCAACCGTGACTGACTGACTTACCGACCGACACTTGGTTTTATGATTATTGTTTATACTTATCATACGGCATTCGAATTAGACTTATAATTTTTTTCTAAACTATTTAGTCCCTTGGGGATTTTCAAGAAAAAGAAGAATGTATAATAATAGTATTTCAATCCCACAATGTTTGCCATATCCATTGCCGACGACGTATTTCGCTCAATCCAGAGCTCAAGAGGTCAGCTGGAACCCAACAAATACAGTGGTTGTAGGAATAGTATTGATATAAGCTTTATATAAATAGAGCTCCGACCGCAACATCCCCCTTGGTGGCTCAGCGGTGAATCAGTGGGTTTATAATGCTAAAAATCGGGTTTTTATACCCGCGGTGGGCAAAGCATGGATGACTCACTGTGTATCTTTGTGCTTTACAACAAACAAACAATACATCCGTTACTGTGTTTTTTGTATCCGCTGGAGTCATGAGCTCTGGATTGAGAGAAACGCGTCGTCGGCAACGGATATGGCAAACATAATGTGGTTGGACTACTATTATAAGATAAAGAATGTAGTTTTCAAAATATAATAGTTCTAATACCAATGTCTTATGATAAGTTATATTTAAATTTAATACTGCTTCGCCAGCTTGGAAAAGGCGTTCACATCATAATAATTATTGTTATAAACCTTCTTCTTCTTCTTCTGAAGTTGACAAAAATTATCATCACGTACATTAGTATTTGTTTTTAATCTACATGAATTTGGCGTGTATCTATTTAATCTGTATTTAAATGTTCTAAATATTTCAGACAAATAAATATCCCCTTCATTCGAGTAAGGCAAGATTGATTTTCCTCCCGCTTTGCCCTCAGTGGCACAGCGGTATGTCTGCGTACTTACAACTTTAGAAACCGGGTTTCGATACTCGTGTTGGGCAAGGCACAGATAGCCCCTTGTGCAGCTTTGTACTTAATTTCAAATAAATAACTAAAATATATTTTATTCAAACATAAGCACATAATTTTGCTAATGACTATTACTACGATGGCTCAAATTCTCCCTCCCAAGCTGTTAGCTTCGGGCTGATGGGCGAATATGATCATCTGCAGTCAACAAAACGGATAAAAAGATCATGGCTCTTGCATCTCGTGATTTAGTCGCACCATAGTCACTTGTCTAAAGAAAACAGGGTCACAATCACCAAAAGCAATGCTGGAGAAGCTAATAAACATTATCGTGAGGTAAAGGAGACAACATACCAAATAGTATTTGAATTTATCCGAAAATAACCTATTCGATAATCCTCGTGTACTGACGAGGGTGGAAGTCATGGTCAAATTAATAACTGTCGTGGCATTTGTTGGAATTAAAAAGATGAAAATGCAGACCAAAACACGTATCCAGTGAAAACAATATAGCCAACGTCTACAAATACTTCCAGATGATTGTGGAAATCTTCTTGTTTGTCCTGCTATCATTGCTATCTGTGGTAGAAGAGAAAGAAATTTAACAGTGAATTAAGTAACAAATGTGATATCTTCAATCTCCCTGAGCTAGAAATGACATAGTAATCGAAATGCAATCACGAGTGACCACAAAATTCAGACCAATTGGATAGCAGCTATGGTTTCTGATCAGATTTTTAACTGTCATGTTATCTGGAGATAAGGATCCTCCAACTAGTTCGAAATTTCTTGTATCTTCATTATACCAAGTCCTTGTTTATGCTGTGGGATGTGGAAGACAGCGGACATCAAATCATATATATTGCTACTCTAGAAAGTAAAATCATTGACAGGAAATGTAGAGCTGACCCAGATCCTCATATCTTATTCGAGATTGGAAGAAACAGACACAGCAATCTATTTTCAAAAATTTGCAATAGTAATAGCATCATATAGCTACCCATGTGTGTCTATGCCTACAATGGTAACACATGACAGCGTAAAGAGACAAGAGGAGACATTAACAGGAGGTGGAATATTGCTCTGTGCCAACTAT